GAGCGCTAGAGAGAGAGAGAGTTAAGGGTCATGGTGAATCTGGTAACTCGGCCTGTTCTGACAGTGAGCAATACCTAGAAGCTAAAGAGAAAGCTGTAAGAAAACTGTAGCCGACATTAAGGAAGAGAGTCTCATATGCTTCGTAACATATGGTTTTCTTTAACTCTCCCGACTGAAGTTAAGACTAATTAATGTGAACCTGAAGGGCAGAAGCTGACAAATAGCGGCCATACAGCTGTAACAGTAAGATGGGAGAGGAACACTAACTGTAGATGAGCAGGGGCTGAAGTGGGCGAAAAGTACTATACAGTGAGAGAGAAAAAGTTTATTTAGGATGGACAGCAGCAAGTTCATGCAAGAAATGAAGAAACAGGACAAGCAAAACATAAATTTTGAAATAAATCATAAACAAGTGGACTTTGTCTGAGGATGACTTGATAATATAGAAGAAAGTAGTCCACAATTAAGATTTAAGCAGAAAGCTCTGTTTTTTATGAACTACATAATGTTATCACTCACCACATAAGGCTTTCCCCCATCTTTTAAAATGTACTAACGTAGACAAGTAGAAGAATACGTACATATGTACAATCGGCTAACAATCTGAAAACAAACAAGTCTTCGTATCAGAGTTTCTTTAGTGTCATGAAAAGCTATTGTGACAAAGCAACAGAGGCTTCAGAGCCTGATTAACTGAGTGCAATCTATGAATATTTAATAGCTCTTGCTCTTTCAAAACAGTAGCATTCTGCCACTTGCTAAGTACACAGGCATCAAAATTAAATCACTTTAATGTAAATCAGAATTAAAATGAAATGGTAGCAAGATAAAATTCTTGATCAATATGTTAATAGCAGTATCAAAGGCTTCTGAAACAAAGGAAAACATTCACTAGCAGCATTTGTGTGAGAGAAAATATTTTTGCCTTTAGTGAGAAAAATACCCTTTCATTTACAAAATCATAGCACTCGAGAAATTTCCCCCACAAAATTACAGACCCAAATGAAAGTACAGAAAAAATAAACCAAAAATAAAACAAAACAGGGAAACAATACCCAGCAGTTGTATAAACTTCTCTTATTCTTTTTTCTTTTTAATACTGTTTCCAGAAAGCCAGACTTAAGAACTGAATTTCTTGTGTATAACTCTGTAAAAGGCAGAAAAAAAACCTTAAATATATGTGTCACATTATAAAACATAAAAATAAGTTTTCATCTCATTGTTACCAGTAAAGCTTTATGGAACCTTGCTAAAGAGTCCTTCCATAAAATTTGGTGACGTACGTGCAGCAGATGATTATAAGGAGGATCAAAGCGTTAATAGGCCAACATTGTCCTATACCTTGGTATTTACGGCCTGCCTCTGCAGAGTGCCATACCTTTTCATCTTCCATGCACAAGTTATAAAAGGCTTGCTCCATTCCTCACTCTGCACTTGTGTGTGCAGTCAGTGTGCAAGTGAACACATGCACTGCTGCACGAGCCTGCAATCAAATAGTTTCCTCATAGAGGCTACAGTTCAGACAGCAAACTCATCTCAGAAATATGTACAATACCTTCTGTTGATGAAATCAGAATACATTTCTGTTCTACTGGTGAACAGTAAAGCCTCTGTTATCAATTAGTTTACGCTGGCTTCTCTAGTGCCTGAAACATTGCCAAAAAGGAAGTGAAAGGCTTGTTGGTTTGCACTGTGTACCATGGATAAACAGGAGGTACACAAGTTTTAGAAACAAAATATCTGAAGCTGTTTGGTATCAACAGTAATGGACTACTAGAATCCAAGTCAAGAGCAATAAAATTAACCTCTGATAGTTTTATAACTGTACACATACATGCTTTCAGGCTCACTCCTAGTGATGCGTAATATCCTAGAGAGGTTGTTGCTATTTTAAGCAAAAAAACGCTCTTTTCAGTGAAGCTGAATAAATTAGTTCCTTTTGCCAGCAATGTCAGCTAGTTTTAGGAAATATTAATTAGAACTTAGGATACATGTGAGTATAGATAATTGCATTTGTACAGTGAAACGTACTGTTCTTGTAAATTGGAGGTAATATAAGGCTAGGATATCATGGAATGTCTCCCCTACTTTGGCAAAATGCCTCACAGAATATTATAAAAATAAATAAATAATAAATAAATAAATTAGCACTGTTTCTTACTTCCATCCAAGTAAGTTTTTATTTCAGGATCACTGACATCTTGCTAAAAACTATAAGCTAGGAAACTCTTCAGTCAAAAAATCCACTTACCTGAAGCAAAAGATCTAGTGTGTAACACAAAAACACTTCAATAAATAGAAAGGCTAAACAACAGAACATTACTTAGGGCAATACTTGAGTATTTCCAGCAATAAAGACAATACTCTTATTTCTTCTTTAAAGAGCACTGAGTGAATATTAGTATGTTGTTATGCTGTTCCATAAGACAAAACAATCAATTTGCAGCATTTGTGAATACTACTTCATTTTCTCCAGATGGTAGATATTCTCTGAAGAAGAGAGAAGTAAGTTCATAAACACAAACAAAGGAGAAAAGCTTTGAATATTGGTTATGCCAAAAACACTTGGTCTTGTGCTGCATATTTCAAAAACTTGAGTAAACAACTACAAAGTAAAGTTATTTACATCTACTTACATGCACTATTTGCCCCTTTACTTTCCCTTCCCAGCAAGGGAGGAACAACACAGAAGCAAATGCTGCCAGGTCCCAATCAGGTGGGAGACAGTCTTTAGGAAGACAAATCTGATTCGTTCCAGAGGTGGGATATGACCTTCCATACATTTCTGAGGCTAGACACTAACAGCATGTTTAAGTCACTACAACTGATCATGAGCATAACATCCCATGTCTTGTATTGTGGCCTGATTTTTTATATATTATTCCGATATTATTCCACAGCTATATATATATTATTCCACAGTCTCCACACAAGGCCTCCCAAGCTAGCAACTTTAAAGAGATGGAAATAACATTTTTAAAATATAAAAGCTAACAGTACTATAGGCTGATTAAGAAGTGTTATACAAGGGTTTCAGCTGGGCTGCGTCAGTCATGCAGGACACTAACCACAGAGTGTCTTCTCCAAAATGTAAGATGCTACTTAGTAGCTCTATATGCATATATAAGGTCTTATCAGGAAGACTTTATAATGCATGCCACGCATTATAAAAGAATTTGGGGAGGGTGGCAGGGTAAATATAGTCTAAATTAGTTAACAGAAGGAGGGAGAGGGGAAACAACACTCATTTTTTTAACACAGACTGCAGCAGCTCTAATTAAAATGGTTTCATAACTTGAACAGCACTCATTTTAATCTAAATTCATCTGATTGCTTGTGAGGTTAAGCTAGTTCATAAAATAAAAAAATACTTTCCAAAGTATATGGGTGCATATATATGTATACATATACATACACATACACACACACACACACACATCTCAAAGGACACACTTCCCAAATACATGTAGCTTCCTGCACATCTACAGAGCATCAAATTATTTAACTGAAATGGGATTTATTTCTGCCTCAGCATTTTAACATAGAGGTCAAGAAAATATTTTTTCCATAAACCTGGTTAAGAGGAAAAAGTAGCGTTTTCTGATTGCAGCAGATCACTTACTACTTGACCAATATGAGACCTAAAAGCAGAAGCGGAAAAGCCCTCAAAAGGTATTCAAACAAACAACAATCCTTGTTTTACAAAACAAGCAAACAAACAAAACAAACAATAATCCTTCTTTATGCCATCCTAGGAGCTTATCTGGGGCTAAGTGACTTCAATATACCTGAGTAATCACACCTAAGCACAGGTGTACTCAAGCACAATCTGGTTCACAGGCAGCATAAAATTAACATTTCAAGATGAAGGAAAGGCATTCAATCATCTTACATGACAACAAGATATTTCCTATCCAAAACCATGCAAGTTATAAATGCACGGATCCAACTTTTACTGAAGTTTGATCACAGTGTCACAAATCTCACAGTGCTTCTTAATGGCAATAATGTTTAAGACAGAGGAATGAGCATTTTGTTCTGTTTGTACAGCACTTACAGCACTAAGGTTTCAGTTGATATTTATGTCTTCTCGAAGTTTTAGAAATACAAGTAATGAATTATAGCAGTGGAAAGCTGTTTCTCGTGAGCAGTACAGCAATCCTCAAGCACCAAGAGGAACGGTGCCTGCTTTGCAGTACCTGAGGGAAGGGGCAGATGAGATAGATAGCTAAGGCCAAAGCACAGCCGGTCCGCGCACAGGCACCGCGGGGTGGGCAGCGCAGGGCGCAGCTCCCACGCGCCACGGTTAGTGCAGCTCCCAGACGGCCTTACCCGCTCCAGCACTGCGTGTTTGGCTGTGCTTTCCGGGGCACTCGGGCAAGCTGGCGGCGCGCTGGCGACAACGGCGACAGCCTGAGGGGGCGCCGCTGGGGG